AAAAAAAAAAATAATTACCGGTACATTGTTTGTAATATCGACTAGATTTGAATGTATTATCTGTTTTCTTTCCAAATATGTTGAATATTCAAGTTTACAATCGAGTACTTTGTTATATTACAAGACATCAATGCACTTTTAGGTTTAAAAATCTCTAAATATCAGTAATAACATATTTGCACTAGTAGAAGCAAAACTCCAACAAAGGCACATACAATCTTTTTATCACAAATTAGTCCCGTTTATAGTCTGCACTTTCCTTGAGACAAAAATGACAAAAGTAAAAAGTAAAGTAAAGTTTTTACCATAAAACTCAACTCAACAAAAAAATGTACATTTTAATATTGTAAAATTCATAGGTGTTTCAGTAAAAAATGTTTACAAAAGAAAAAAAAAAAAAAAACTTTAAGCATAAAAATAAAAAAATGTAAAAGAATATGTGACAGAAACGAATGCTGTAGAAGAAAGCCAAAAAAACAACAACACATTTTGTAAAGAGATTTCAGGGCCAGGAAAAAAAAAATCATGTTTCTTGTCAATTTAAAAAAAAAATTTTAATTACAAAAATAAAACAAATGTTTAAATTAAAAAAAAAAAGAAAAATTGACCAGAAACATTGTATTTTTTTTTTCTTGGCCTCTAGATAAAATGAAAAAAAAACTTGTATACTTTCTGCTCGAAAATGGCAACCTGAAAGAAATATTAATATCTTGTTGGCTGATATAGCCACACTGTTTGAGATGCATAATGAGAAAGGAATATCAAATCAATCAGTCTTTTTCAAAATAACAAGAACATTTGCTAAAATGAAAAATTATCAAAACTCAATAAATTAATCTGATACATTGAAGAGGAATCCACCCATATCCACATATTAAAATAATTGGGCTTTTAAGAAAAAGTTGAAAATGTAAAGTTGACAATGACGAACAATCAGTAATATGAACAGCCCTGCTCTGCAGACTTCTTCGATAGTAAAGCTAATATTCATCTGCAATTCTGTTCTGCCTGGCCATGGCTTCGTACTCTTCCCTTGTGCCGTCTTCTTCTTGCATTGCTATATTTTTGTATGTAGTTTCATTCAAAGCGTTCCTGGCCACATTTGTCTTTGGATGGTTCTCTCCAAAAACCTGTAACAACAACACAGAGTTACAAGATTTGCATCATATATGGGAATTCAAAGGACAATTTCATTCAGTCCTCATCTCGGCCGTCTGGCGTTTGGCGTTTGAGGCGATTCGGCGCTTGAGGCGACAAAGGACAATGGTCAAGCCTAAATCACACTGACAATCGCAACACTCAAATGTCCCATTAGAATATTACAGCCATTATAGAAGAATTTCTCAAACTCATATACTCAATATACTGCTCATCAGCAACTGCAATTACAGGTGTTCTCAAATTGTCAAAATTCACCAAAAAATAAAATGTATTTGATGTAGGATCACTTTCTCCCTTCTAAAATATAGGAATGACGATGACACAAAAGAACCTTTTAATTCATCTGTTTTAATTATAATGATGTATTATATCAAATGTAAATGTTGACCATGTAGTTTGTGGTGCTAATATCCATATTGTGTTTGCATGAATACATTGGAAACCTTTTATGTGAAAATAACAAATAAATTGGTATTTGGCTACCGAGATGAAATGGCTCTTTAAGTACACATGCTTTTGTTATAGCTTCAATAATCCAAGCAATAGGAACTTCGTGTAAATTCAGCAATTCCTCAGAATAAAGAATTCGTGACAGCCACTGCCCCCTCCCCTCCCCCTCAATAATAAATGCTTTGCATTGTGTGAACATTTTTGCTCAATGACAGTATTCTTTTTCCTGTCACACTTTATAGCACATCTGACATAAACAAAACCAAGCGTTTGAATGTAACGACAATAACCTTGAACATGTTTATGGTAGATGGTGCATTTTATTCTGAATTAGACAAATTTTGAGTAAAATATATTTTTTTTCATAAATTGCTGTATTTTATTGTTTTTGGTGCTAGGTGTATAAAAGCTTGATAGACCTCACCTCTATACTGACTTGATACCATTTCTTGAAGTGATCATAGGCTGAGTAGTAATCTCCACTGTCTTCATAATAAATACCGATATTACTGACCAGCCGAGTCATCAGTTTACAATTATCACCCAATGCCTGCTTACATTGTTCTAAAGCCAACTCATAAAACTGTAACGATATTATTAAAATTAATTTTCATATATTTTTACATATTCACCACATAAAATCGTTGTCTAATAGCAGCTACATATATAGAACTTTTGTATTTGCTCATTTAGTTAGCATGAAAATGTAGTCTTCATTAATTTATGCACCTACTGATATTTCATTAAAAATTAAATAATTATTTATTCATTTTCAGTTACACCAACGACACTACTTTATACAACCGGGTGATCAGCTAACACCATTACAAATGTCGATATTCTGACGCATGCAATAAAGTAGTCCCAAGCTCTAACGTAAAAAATAGCACAGAAATCATTATTATCAAGGCAACTTACATGCAACTGTTCTGCACTGCCTCTCGGGTGAAGAATAGCCTTTGTCATGTTAGCCTCTGCCTGCCTACCAAGGTCCTTCATCTAAAAGAACCAAAGCACTCTGTTTTTAACTCAAGCATGAATTGAAAATGGGGAAACAAGTTGACTGAAACAAGCTCCAATGTATAAGCATGTCAAATATCAAAGCTACCGGTATTTGTATCAATCAATTATTACCACAAACCATCATATCAACATTGAGTATGCAGTGATTGATACGTTGACCGTACTGGATTGTATAATTCATAATATGACTTGGTGATACACAGTGCTTACCTCTTGAAACACCAGAATAGCTTGTTCTATTTTTTCTTTGCCCTCATTGATTGCTTCACTGGCGGATAAATTTGAATCACCACCACAGTCAGACCATACATTCAAATTGAACGCCAAGCCCATCAACGACACCGCTAACTTATACTGCAGTGAAAATAAATAAAAATCAGTGGGTGTTATACTGTAAATCTTTTCACTTCTAGGAATTTTCATAATTTTTAATGGTGTTTATGAAGATATTTCATTTGTTTAAGACAATGTGTCTTTATGATTCCAGTTCAATTTTCATAGCCACAAAACTTTGCTACTTCCCTTCTAATATATGAAATGTATATTGTGAATGAAACAGATTATTTACTCAGATTATTTATTGTTTATTTGTTGTCACAAATATGTTATTCCATGCCTCTTGGCTTATACACATAAATTTATTCATTTATAGAAATTTGAATATGACTAGAATTCAGCAAACCAACATGAACAGCATGGAATACAGCAATTGTGTAATAGTAGATAGTAGATACAAATGTCACTAGATCACAACATTCCTAGACTGCTCAAAATTGAATACAATTTCATGACAAGTTTTGAGATTTTTTCATTGGTCTGAACCAAACACTGAACTCGCCTTTCCGAACCATTCAAGCACAAAGTACCATATTTTTTTTATTAGTTTCACATGCTTACATAGCTGACACAAGTGCGTGTAAGATTTTAATAATCCAGTATACAATCAATGCAACTACTGGTTTAAAAGCACTTTTATCCAAGATGCACTTCTAATAGAGCAAATGAGATATTTAGAATGATTTTGGCAACATTCAGTGATATCTGACATGAACTGAAATAAACCATTTTCTGTTCACTGCCAGATCCTGCGTTATGTGTGAAATCAAACGTAAAAATAGGACGAACAAAAGTCATAGCATCGTAGTGGCGACAAACATGGCATGGTTTCGACAAACGCGAAAGTATTTTGGGGGATATTTCCATGCTTAATAATGTGCTGTACACATTTGATGATGGTCAATTTTGATGAAGTGAGGGTATTCAAATGCAATATTCCCCTGTCAAAGATCGACCTTTAGAAGTGAGCTATGAAATAAAGAAGTTCAAAATCGAATAATTTAATTTTTGCTGCAGACGTTCGGCATGCGCCTTTCACACAACTCGCGAGATCTCGCAGTTGAACGGGGAATCTCCTATTTAACACATGTCTATAGTCATGAATGAGTTTAATAATGTTGGGTGGTAGTCAGTGTAGCAACACACTGCCTGCTGAAAGGCTCCATGGAAAGCCAAAATATATGAGAGAAAAATGGTATCAGCAGATGATGTTTTAACGGGCACCGTCTCACCTTGTGAACATCACCTTCTAAAGTGGCTCGGATCGCGGCAGATTTTCTGCCAAACTCAAGCGCTGGACGAAGATCTTTAATATTCTCTCCCGTTATAAACTCATGCAGTTTGGAAATCTACCAAAAAAAATATCATATAATTATGTTAATTTCTGCAAAATGGCAATTATACCACAAATCGGAATCGTTTTTAGTTAAAGTCACATGATTGGTGGATACCTCATCCCACAATTCTGCACATAATCCATACACCTCAACCATCCTTTCTGGCCGTGCTCCAAGCTCGTCTTCCTCAAGTTTTATAAGTGATTGTAATAATACTTTTGCTGATTCATAAAATCCTGCTTGTACTCTGCAAAAAATAAATCGCATTTATTAATCTGATATGAGACAAAAATAAAGTTGCTTTGTTTTAATACAAGAGGGTGCTATAATATTCACAACATTCCACAGCAACTCTGATTAAAACAGCAATTTGAAAATTCTAATGTTTCCACCTAGAGGGCGCTATAACATCCCATAATGCATAATACCGTACTCACAACACTCTTGTGATATGCTCATATCTCAAAGCAATCTCGTCTTTCGTTGCTCCAAAGTTTTCCAGTTCCTTGAGAGACACTTTGTAACACTCTTCCATTTTGTCGTAACCCCCAGCCTACAAATAACCAATTATAAGACAAGAATATATTGAATCACCGACAGTAGCTGCAGATAGAGTGAAGCATCTTGGGATATCAATCAATCAGGTGTGTGTTTGTTTCACCCATTCACGATCATAACATGATTAAACATTCAATTATCATGTTCATAATTGGTAATCCTGACGATCACGCCAGACAAAACATGGTAACCCATATACTGTACAATATCTTTTCCATAATGGTAATGAAGTGACTGTAAATCAGTGAAAATAAATTCCATACAAAGCACCAAAAATGCCTTTTCAGCGAAATTTAATTCCAGCTAAAATAAAGTATTTTACAGTAACTTCATTACCATTTTGGAAAAGGTTAAAATGGGGATAGACAGGAGACAGGGGTTCAAGAAATGTGCGATGTAAAATTCCTGTTTTTAGTTTATAGTGACAGGTAAAGAATCTGATAAATAGCTTATGGTTTTTTGTGTGGTTTCTAAACCACAATTTTGTCATTTTGTAAAGTTTAATGAGGTAAAAAAAGGCAAATCAAGTGTTTACATATTTATGGAATTTCACATTTCAGTAATGATGCCAAATTATTCATAAATCTGATCATACAAATGCATCCCTGGGTAGAGACACAAACATTTCACTGTTTTAGCCTGTCCAAGCAATCACAAGTCCACACATTATCTATGCCCTGATTTATCGTTAGACTGGCCACAGTCTGGGCAATTTTTTCAAAACATAGGTGTAATTTTTAATTAAAAAAAATATGTTTCCCACTCGCCATGAAATCACCCCGGGATTTCTTTATTTCTTTTGTAAAACAAAAAAGAAGTCCCGACTTTGCCAATCTAATTTATCTTGTTTGAACACAAACTCATCAGTGCAATAGAGAAAGTGCTAGATCCTATGGAAACTAGACTGACTAGCAACTTTGCTCATAAACGTGTTGCACTGATGTTCTAACACTACGTAGACGGTAGTAACAACATGAGTCTATAGCTCAATGATAAATAAAGTTTTTGAGTGTAAACAATTGTACTTACTTTCCTCCAATAAGCCAGCAGTTGAGAGCTGTAATCTTCCCTATACAGCCTGTCAAATATTGGCCACTCCATCAGACAGCTACACAATCTTTCCTTATCACCAATCTTCACTAACTGGTATGGATATTCCTGCAAAATATTCAAATTTCAACACTTTGAAATCACATGCTAGCAAATATTTAAGAACGAGACTATCGGTTTTTGTTATTTTCAAAAAAGTTCCGCTACTAAAGTTAAACATTTTTCTCTCGTTAAGATCTTTTGGTTAGATGAGTGGAATCAAATACAATTAAATTATTTAGATTTTTTAAGATTTGTTTCGGGTATAAAAATTTCAAATGTATAAATTCACTTGTAATTGACAGTGGCCATCTTTGATTTTTCCTGAAATATCATGCGTTGTTCTCTGAGTTAATATGCACATGATGACATCACGAAAACTTGACAAAACCAGACTTAGAGGTACCTGACAATTTTCTGGCTCAGGGACAATTGTTGAATTATTGATAACAGACAAAATGTCAGCAATATATGGGAAACTTAATGTATCATTATTCATGTACCTACAGTTTATGTAAATGAGTTGTGTTTATAATATCAAATTCAGTTGTATTTTAATTATCCTGCGTTCAATAAATGCAAGGTTTGGTTAATAGTGATGCGCTTTTAATAGAG